GGCAGGAGGATCTGAGAGGACAGCGACCCCTGTCCATTTGCCTGCCCATGTAGACCCTTGTCGTAAGGGTGCTGGAGACCCACCAAAAAAGTGGATTTCTCGATTCATGTCACGTGCTCCTTTTCGCAAAACGTGGGAACAGGTGCGAAAAGTTTGTTGAGATAAATGTGTCTCAGCCAGCGACCAAATTCCCGGTCCTAGCTCCAGCAAAACATCCTCTTTCTGCCGCAGGCCACATGGATTGCTGACGCCCACAGTCAGTATATTGCCCCTGTCAGGTCCCGGGTGCCGGGCCTCACCATATCTTTCAGTGCCTGCTTGGCCATCAGGGATGTAGGAACACTGGAGGGAAGAAAACCTCCAAAATTGTGGCTCATGTATGGGCTCCAGAACTGAGCAAGGAAACTCCCCCGACCCAATATCACAGTCGGCCAAGGCCGCCGTGCTGTCGATGTAGTGCCGGGCAAAGGGAGTCCCCTGCTGTAGAGCCACCGCCGGTGCAAAATGCACAAAGAGCCAAATGAACATCATACGCAAACCAAAAAAGGATCTCGATGTTGTTCTCGGCCTCCAGGTAGATCCATTCCTGGAGCCGAGCTGCCGTAGTCAGCTGGAGCGTTGCTTCTTCTCCAGCAGTGCCTCCAAGCGAGACAACTGCTTGTTGAAGTTGTCACTCATCTCACTTGAGAGATCACTTTTGATGGTTTTCATAGTGCTCTGGAATGTGCTGCCCAAAGTGTGGATCTCATGTTGGTGCGTGTTGAGGGTTTGTTGAACGGCCCCAACTGCACTCTCAGTGGCCTGCATGCGTTCACCAGCTTGTTGAAACCAAGTGGAGAATTGAGCATGATGGGATTGGAGTTCCTGCGTGCCAAACTCCAAGGCTTGAAGACGACCTTCATGTGATTGTGCAAGTCCGGAGGAACTTGTTGCTGCAGCCTGCATGGCGGCCTGAGCTTGGGTCTCAAGTCCTTTGGAGACCTGGGATTGCACGTCTTTGCAGAGTTGGGTTCGCAGCTCTTCCAAACGATGTTTGCCATCACCATTTGTAGATGCTGAAGGCTTCGGTTTGAAGTTGGCCCAAGGGTCCTTTGCAATGTCCAGCCAAGGGTCATTTGCTGACTTGGTGCTGGAGGCAGTGTCTGGCGCAGTGCGCAGATGTTTCTGCGTGCGGGTTGATGCAATCAGTGTGGTCTGAGGAGTGTTGGCCTTGATCTCCTTAACCGCTGTGATCACAATGTCATTGTCAAAGCCCTTCATGACCAGATGAGGGGGTTGTACATCAGAACCCACCCGCCATGCCATATGCTGAAAGGAGCTTTTGCCCGGCTGCAGAGGTCGCGCATGCCAACCCCAATCACTGAGGAGTTTGGAGACTGCTTGTCGCTGTGTGCCGTGTGGCAATGGAAATAGCTCAAAAATGTATTTGATGTGGAGATCCAGAAAGTCCACTCCAGGTCTAAGGTGTGTCCATGCCGCTTGCTCATCATCTTTGGCGACCCTGATGCCGAACTTGTTCTTCAAACGAACCAAACAAATGGCTTTTGAGAATGTGCGGCATTTGTGAGCAGCTTCATCAAAGCTACTACCTGGCAGCCAAATGACACGATAGTGATCATCATGTTCTCTGGGTCGCTGTCCCCTGGGTTCTGCATAGACTCCCAATGGTGTTGTGGTCAAGATCTTGGCAAGTGCACCTTCAGGGATGCGCATGAACACAGTGAAGAGGGTTGCGACAGAAGCAGCTGCTTTGTGCCCATGTTCGTCAAAGTAGCTGCGCGCCCAGATCTCAAAGATGACATTGTCAATGTGTTCATCAATTCCAGGATGGAATTTGGCACATTCTGCCCCACAATTGACCCCCTTGCAGAGTTGTAGAGCTTCCATCATGTTGACCAACGCCCGCACAGGCGCAAGCACGAAGGTTTGCCAGTCAGCAGGAAATTGATCTCGGAAGATCTGGAATTTGATCACACTGGTGCTAACAATGTCAGGGCTAGAGCACTCGCCTTGGAAGGTTCTTTTCACTGTCAGGTCTCCAAGTTGTAGGATATGACCAAATATCAGAGTATGCTCATTGGTGCCCCGACAGCGCGCAGGGATGACAATCTTTTCCAGAGAAGCTGAGTCAATCACTTCTTGGCTGGGTGTGTCCACAAGGAGAAGTGCCAGAGCCTCGACGCTGATGTTCTTGGGCGACTCCAAGAAGTGTGTGGCCATGGTAGTAGTGCAAAGTGCAACGCCTCTGCAATCAGCCTCAACTTCCGAGAAGGAGATCTGGGCCACTGGTTTGTCATCATCATCATGGAAATGCTCTCCATCCAGCTCGAAGTGATCAGGGTCAATGTAGACAGGCCCTGATTTCTGTTGAGTTTTGGCATTCTTCTTGGCCTTGTGGTTGCGAAGTTGGGCACCATGTTGAGTCTGAGCTCTTTTGGCTATGTAGGCTGTCTGTTCAGCAGCGGTGACAATCCGAAATAGATGGCCGGGCTTACTAGCCGCTGATTTGAGATCAGCCCAGGGGTGCTTGCCCTGCAGAATGCTTTGGACAAGGGTGCTTCCAAGCTTCATGATGATCTGTGGCGCTCGTTCAGGAGCAAGCTCAGTGGGGACTCCCTTGTCTGCAATCAAGCTTGCAAGTTGATGTTGTTGATCTGTGAGTCCTCCAGCAAAGATGGTGCCATCTTGTTGATGTCGCAAGAGCCACTCATGCAGTACTGCGATCTCTGATTGGGTTGGCCTGGTGGTCAGGCATAAGTCCAAAGCCATGTGCACCAACGCTATTGTCCCACAGGTAGATGAATGCTGCTGTGCAATGCAGTGATGAGCGGTAAAGTCCACCAAGTCCACATCCAGAAGATTGCAAATCTTCAGCGCAGTGTTGTGAGCACTGGGTAGCAGTCTTTGGTCTCGAAGTCCATCGAACAAAGTCCAAGTAAGTCCATGTGACTGCGATACCCACTTACCGACAAGCAGGACCCAATGATGATCAGTCTCAAAGATGACATAGATGGAATGACTGGAGGCACAGAATTGTCGCTTCCAAGTTTCTCGAAGTCCATCTGGAAAATGATGATCAAGGAAATGCTTGGCTCTGAAAGGATAGAGCATGAAAGGTGCTGATTGCTGGTCTGCTTCTGCGTGGTGGCTGGTCATAATCTGCATGAATTGCCAAATGATCTTGTCACCTAGGCATGCTGCAGCTGATTGTTGCCCTCCACCCGAGAGGTCATCTTGCTCAGTCCAAGGCTTGACCTGCATGCTCTTGCGGATCTCAATGGAGTACAAGACATCATGTTGAAGAAGTGTGGCTGGAGGTAGCCGAACTCCTTGATGTTTCACAACAACGTAGTGTCCCCAACCGCAGAGCGATTTTTCAGCTTCAATCAATTGTTTGACGGTCAGGGGTTGGTGGATCATGACATCCAGGATCTGGGATTCACCTTCAACTTGCAATTTGATGCATCTGGGTTGGTACATGCGTGGAGTGATCCAAGTGAGCATGGAATGATTCACCAAATGCTGTTGCAGAACTCGAATGCTTTGGGTTGGGTCAATTCCAGTCCATCCCCAATGATAGAGCTGCAGACCAGCCAAGATGTGAGCTTGAAGCCAAAGCACCTGAAGAGGAGCAGCAATTTGGCCTAAGAGACTCAAGGCCGCCCGCAAGTCACATGGGAATGCGAAGGTCGGTGGGACGGTACACAGCAATGCTCCTTCTGCAGGGTGAAGGTGACGCATCTTGCCACTTCGCATGGACCTCAAACCAAAACCTCTGGCTCCATATTTCCTCAATCTCATATCACTGAATGCAGTTCGACAACCACATGTGCAGGGCCGTGCCACGTGTCCCCAAGAATGGAGAAATGTGGGCGCCTTGTCATCTGGTAGAAGGATACGTTGATCATCCCCATAGGCCCGGTCTGTATAGATCTTCTGCTCAGTCTCATCCCATTCCAAGATTTGCTCATCTTCAGTGGACCAAATGGCATCCATCGGCATGACCATGGAAAGGCAAGTGAGGTCCTTGTTGATGGGCCACATTGGAAGAGCGAGATTGGGGTGGTCCTTGGTGATCAGGTGACACCAGAATCTGTGTCGGCGCACTGGCCACTGATGCTGAAGGTCCAGGGTCATCTTGGTGCAAAACATGTGTGCTCGTTGAGCGAAATCATCAATGCAAGCTTGGGTACAAGGAAATTGAAGAACATTTGCTACGCATTCCAAAAGTGCCGCATCTGCTTGCAAGAGCCAAACATAGTGCAGGATGTAGTACAAGCTATGGCTTCGATGATCATCGAGCCCCATCAAATCGCCCTGCTTTGAGTAACCCTGGCATGGAAATCCTCCAGTAATCTGGAGAAACGTGTTGCCCTTCAGGCGATGAACTTGTTTCATCACTCTCACATCTGAAAGGTCCCCTTCAATGATTGGACTTTGGAAGTTGGCTCTCAAGGCCATACATGCCAAAGAATTACGTTCTACAAAGGCCATTGTCTTCAAACCAAGAATCTGTGATCCAATGGAAAATCCACCCATGCCGCTACAAAGGTCAAGCACTGTGATGGTTTGGAATGCCTCTTTTGGAGGATGTGGCAGTGCTTCTGTGTTGTCCCCAAACAGACATGTCTGAGGGTCCTGCGACGCCTTAATCAGGTCGTAGAAGGTAAAGGTGCCCACATCGAGAGGAGGAGCATTCACCACCACAAAACTCTGATCGGGTGACAGACCCCGGCAATGGAGATTACCATCATGATGTCCCAAAACAGTCGCAACTATATGGAAGGAGTTGCCAGGAATGATGTCGCGCACAGCGATGTCCATGGTTGGGGTTATGGTCTCCCAGTCTTCTGCTGAAGTCAGTTTTACTACTGGAAAGCTTCTGGGCCGAAAACTCATATATAATATATATATATAATTATATACGTATATATATATATATTATATCCATTTCCATCATCACTTCACCCAAAACATGACCTGGCCGTACCATCGGCCGCCTCCTTGGTTTTCTCCACCTTCTCCACCAGGCCCTTGGCCAAGAAGGCCTCCCCGAAGCGCCGCGCGTTCTCCGCATCCGTGACCTTCAGAGCCTGGAGAGTTTGGCTGGAGATCTATGGATTCTTACTTGAAATCCTCAATAATATATCCATATTAATGATCCCAGTGATTAACATGGATATTCACTATATTCTATGGATATTCTATGGATGTTCTATTCTATGGATCTGTAAATTAAAGTAGACCCTGGCCCCTGGCAGTCATCGGGGTTAGAAGATGAGTTTCCATTAAAAATTGGTGATTATCAGGGTCCAACTGTTAATTTACCAGAGGGTAAATGATCTGTAAATGGTCAGTACCAACAAAAAAATCGACAAAAAGACCGGTTCTATCCGTTCCAGTTGCATTGCCAACCAGTACATGTTCACATTTCTGGTGGAGACTCCTGATCTGTTGGTCACCATTCCCCCTGGTCATCCCTTGGTCACCCCCTGGTCAGGGCCTCCAAATAGTCGGCAACCTCTGAAGAGCCGTTCACGGACATGACGAAGTTGACCATCGGCTCCTACAGAGGTCAACTAAATCAGAGCCGAAAGCGCGCCGAAGCATGGTTAATTATATTTAAGGGTGTAATATTTAGTGAAAAAGATATTTAATTCAGTCAACTAAATATTATATAAAAAAGAAAGAAAAAAAGAAAGAAAGAAAGAAGAAAGGGTGAACACTATAAGATGATCTGGATTTAGAATCGAATTGGATTTGGTGAAATGTTGGAGGAAGCAAAGAACATATATAGAAACTTAGTGAGAGAAGGGTTGAAATGTCATGGCTTGAAAAGATGTTTTTGGAGATAGGCATACACAATCATAGAAAAATAATAAAAATTCGTCACTTCAAATGATGACACCCCCAATAATATGGAAAAATAAAATTCATGATCCAAAGCACGAAGCAGTAAACATGTTAATGCACGGCTAGATACTTCAACCCAGTGGGATTTTGTCGTCTCCATCTCCACGTCCCAAGTACACCGGTGGCCGAAGTTTCAGGATCTCATTTTGGAAGTTTCCGAGGCGAAAGCCGATGGATATGCCCCATTTTGGAAGTGTGGGCGGGTGTTTTATACCCCCAACCATGGCCTGTTTGTTTTTGGTAAAATGATCATTGTTGGGATGGTATTGGATTTAGCACATCAACTGGGAGAACTGTGACACCAATTGAGTTTGCAAAAAGTGACCCTCTGGCAATCAAACATGGCTGGAAAATCCACACATTTAGAAAGATGATTTTCCCAGCTACAAACTACAAAAACCTCCATTTACTTCGGGGGATTTCCGACATTCTCCCACGATTCCCTATGACTTTCCCATCAAAAACGTCCATTTCGTTCAGGGATTTCCCAGCCCTCTTTGATTACTGGGAACCCAAGAGGAGATCTTCGCCTCCAGAGTGATGCCATACTCCGTCAGCAGTTCCTTTTAAATTGCGGGGGTCAAGATGGGCACAGTTGGAATAGACGAAATGCCCTATATATGTGTATTTATATATATACATACGTATCATTAGTGGAGTAATGAAATGCGTATATCAATATATATATATATGTTATTGTGAAAAGGGTTGGATTTCCATTGAATGCATTGCCACATTTGATTGCCAAGGGATAGGTATAGACAATATATCAAACTTAAATCATATCCTGGCATGTTGATAGTTTGGAAACAAAGCTTGTAGTTTGACTGGCAAACATGTTGATATAACCATACACAAATAAATATAAATCCAGCCTGGGGATAGTGCAAGTAAATATATAGCGCTTTGATTCCTATTCTGGCTAACCTTTCAGCTGGTTGGTACATCCTAGTATACAAATGTGTCCCTTTATACCACAAGATCACAGTCACCCCTTCCCCTTATACATATATATATATATATATATCTTAATATATTAAAAACAAACAAACGAAACAATGGGTTTAGCAGTGGATCTATTCATGACTTCGGGCCCCATGTTGGGGTGTTGGAAATATTGGCCTCCTATGCCAGAAATTTAGAGACAAAAAACAGGGCACATAGAAAAACACGACGTATTTAACCATTTTGTAGGGATATTTCAGGGGATATTTATTTCGCGGGATATGTCAACAACAGTATGATATATGGAGGTGTGTATGAAAATGCAGAATATCACGAAATGGCGATTCCAGTATGGTTGTATGGATGTATGGATGTATGCGTGTATGTATGCATGTATGCATGTATGCATGTATGCATGTATGCATGTATGCATGTATGCATGTATGCCTGTATGCATGTATGCCTGTATGCATGTATGCATGCATGCATGCATGTATGCATGTATGTATGTATGTTATGTATGTTATGTATGTTATGTATGTTATGTATGTTATGTATGTTATGTTTGTTATGCATGTTTTGCATGTTATGGGTGTTATGCATGTTATGCATGTTATGTATGTTATGCATGTTATGTATGTTATGCATGTTATGCATGTTATGCATGTTATGCATGTTATGCATGTTATGCATGTTATGCATGGTTTGCATGTTATGCATGTTATGCATGTTACGCATGTTACGCATGTTATGCATATTATGGATGTTATGCATGTTATGGGTGTTATGGATGTTATGCATGTTATGGATGTTATGGATGTTATGCATGTTATGCATGTTAGTATGTATGTATGTATGTATGTATGTATGTATGTATTTCTGTGTGTATGTATGTATGTATGTATGTAGGTATGTAGGTATGTAGGTATGTAGGTATGTAGGTATGTAGGTATGTAGGTATGTATGTATGTATGTGTGTATGTGTATGTATATGTAAATGTAAATGTATATGTTTATGTATATGTATATGTATATGAATATCTAAATGTATATATATATGTATATGTAGATGTAGATGTATATGTATATGTGTGTGTATGTATGCATGCATGCATGCATGCATGCATGCATGCATGCATGCATGGATGGATGGATGGATGGATGTATATGTATGTATGTATGTCTGTATGTATGTCTGTATGTATGTCTGTATGTATGTCTGTATGTATGTATGTATGTATGTATGTATTAATGTAATGTAGTGTAGTGTAGTGTACTGTTATGTAATGTAATGTAATGTAATGTAGGTATGTATTAATGTAATGTAGTGTAATGTAGGTATGTATGTATTAATGTAATGTAATGTAATGTAATGTAATGTAATGTGATATAATGTACTGTAATGTAATGTAATGTAATGTAATGTAATGTAGGTATGTATGTATGTATACATATTATATACATATTATATACATATTATATACATATTATATACATATTATATACATATTATATACATATTATATACATATTATATACATATTATATACATATTAGATACATAGTAGATACATATTATATACATATTATATACATATTATATACAGATTAGATACATATTATATACATATTATATACATATTATATACATATTATATACATATTATATACATATTATATACATATTATATACATATTATATACATATTATATACATATTATATCATATTATATAATTACATATTGTATAATATTCCAATAGCAAAAATGAGTTTCTAAACCACTGGATTTTGTGGTACCATGTTTTCAAACCAAAGATGCAGTGACTAGCCTGCTATGAAAACTTATCGGTTCGATAGAGATTTGACACAACGAACTGGAAAATCACAATTTTTAAAAGGGTAAATCAACGTACTATGGCAATATATAGAAAACAAAGGGTATTTGCCATTGTTTCCATTGAAAATTGACAGAGATTTTTTACATTTCAATAGAAATATGGTTAAATCAACTCAATATTGCCATGTATACCCTCTGTTCAATATGGTAAATCAACTATTTCTATGGTTAAATTACCAGAGGCTATCTATGACACTTACCCTCCAGTCGTATCCATTGTTTCCTCGAAAATCCACCCATTGAGTTCAGGGATTTCCCAGCGGCCCATGTTTGATGACACCAGAGTGTACAAGAATCAACAGCTGTGAAGGCTTGTTCCTCAATAAGCCCGTGTTTGGTGCTTCAATCATCAATGTGTAAAAATCCTCAAATCACCATCCGCCCATCATCTAGGGATTGCGGTTAGGAAAAAATCCTCACTTATGTTGCTTATAATCTAGTTTTTGGCCCAAGCAAATAAAGAATACTCAAAAAATTACCAACCAAAAAAAATACAAAGATACCATATGAACTTGCCATAAAATGGGTGTTTTTTCCATGGCGTTTTTTCCCACATTCTCAGACACCATGGTCCTTCACCTGTGCCCGACGCAACTCACCTCGTGGTGCGCTGGCTACATGCTGAAACTGGTTGATGCTGGGGATTCGAATCCAAAACTAGTCCAAAACAAATGGACTCAGCCAGGCTGAGGATTCTGATGATTCAAACTATGGAATGAACATGGCGATGCAGGCAGTCGAACATCGGAAATGTAGAAGTCAAATGGAGTATCTTCAATCTTGACTCTGACATGAGTTCCCTTTTTTTTGCCAGCTCACCTGTCACAAGTGGTTTTTTCGGGGCCGCAAACTGGTGACCAATCCCCATAATCCAAGCACTTCGCCGATCATCCATAATCCCAACGTTTGCACAATGCTTAATTATATCATGGGCTAATATGTTTTTCACAGTTCTATATAATTATGTGGAATAAAATATAATAATATTTTTGTACAATTCTATAAAATTAATTATAATTAGATAGATATATGGACTATAACCATATGATGTTGGGACATATGTTCCTGGTTTTTCCACATCCGTTTCCTTCGGGTAAAGCCCAGCTGGGCACAGCGAACTCTTTTCCTCATCCTTCGCCTTCTGCTGCTGCCTGAGAGACCCATGTAAGCCAGTGGTGAATGGTACCCCCAATTACAAAATACACCCATAATCTTCCATACGGAGAGTCAGCCAGTTGAGAGGTTTTTTGTTTTCTTTCCGGTGCTTGAAAGATGTTGAAACACTGTTTGGTTGTAGTTGAGGCACCTCAAATAACATGTTGGGACCCCAACTTGGCATGGGGGTTCAACTCCAGGTCGGTGACGGCACCAATCATGTTTGGGTTTATGAGCCATCTACTGTGGCGGCCTCACCAAAATGGGGGAGATTGGTTGTTACAAAGACCAGAGGATCCGTCAGATGCTATGCAAATCTGAGCAGACTTCGAGCTTGGGAATGCGGACAATCGATGTTCATGACAAGCGCTTGAGACATGGTTGATGTCATTATTTTTGCTGACCAGGGGATAGCAAAAGAATTGCGTCCAACCTTTGTTGTCAAACATTGTCAGGTCGTTTTGCATACGTGAAAGTCTCTCAAGGGCAAGGATGCCCAAAGTGCATCCACAGTGTTCTTTCATCGGTCACTGACTATGGGTAGGTCTGTAGCTCGGACGTTTTGCTACACCCATTCGGTTCATGTTGGTGATGGTCACAATCATCAAGCAACCAAGAACATCGTCATCGTCATCTTCATCATCAACATCATCATCAAAATCGAAATCATCATGGTCATCATAACCATCATCATCCTCAACATCCTCATCATCATCCTAATCATCATCCTCACAATCATCGTCGTCGTCATCAACATCATCAACATCATCATCATCGAAATCATCATCATCATCATCATGATCATCATCATCATCATAACCATCATCATCCCAACATCCTCATCCTCATCATCATCATCATCATCATCATCATCCTAATCAACATCATCATCCTCATCCTCATCATCATCATCATCCTCCTCCTCCTCATCATCATCCCCCTCCTCTTCATCATCATCCTCATCATCATCATCACCACCATCCTCGTCATCATCCTCATCATCATCATCACCCCCATCATCATCATCATCGTCATCCTCATCCGCATCATCATCATCATCATCCTCCTCCTCCTCCTCTTCATCCTCATCCTCATCATCATCACGATCATCATCATCATCATCATCCCAACATCCTCATCCTCATCCTCATCCTCATCATCCTCATCCTCATCATCATCATCATCATCATCCTCATCCTCATCCTCATCATCATCATCATCATCGTCATCATCATCATCATCCCAACATCCTCATCCTCATCCTCATCATCCTCATCCTCATCATCATCATCATCATCATCACCATCATCATCATCATCCTCATCATCCTCATCATCATCATCATCGTCATCATCATCATCATCAACATCCTCATCCTCATCCTCATCATCCTCATCCTCATCCTCATCATCATCATCATCATCATCACATCATCATCATCATCATCATCATCATCATCATCATCATCATCATCATCATCCTCATCAACATCATCCTCATCATCATCATCATCATCATCCATCATCATCATCATCATCATCATCCTCATCATCATCACCATCATCATCATCACCATCATCATCATCATCATCATCATCATCATCATCCAGCACTTGAATTAACAACAATTCCCACTGAATTCCTTGAATTTTCACAGCCGCCACTCTAAGGCCCCCAGCTTTTGTGCAGCCTGGAATCCGTGGCGTGGGATGAGACAGCCGTGAATCATCAGGTCTACGAAAGGCGGGGGAAAATGAGTGGTCACATACTGAGTATGAATTGAATACGTGTAGATATAGATATAGATGTAGATGTAGATGTAGATATAGATATAGATATATATACTGTATATATGTATATAGCAACCCAAAAAAAGAAAACCACGTCAGTAGTTTGGCGCTAGTTTAGTAGGTTTTACTTTTCTACCTGGTGCATTCGCGGGCTGGTTGGCTATTGATACTTTATTTCACCACGCCAAAAACATCCTGAATTTGTCAACTAGAATCACCATCCCATCTTAAAGCGGAAATATTTGCCAATACCCTCCGGTAATTTAACGTGGCTATTGAAAATTGCCCATTCACACTTGATTTACCTATGAAAATGCTGGTTGTCCATAGAAAACTGTTAGTTTAACCAGAGGATATTCGCAATGGCACATTCCTGAAAATATCCAAATGGCTACAGTAAACAATGGTAATTACACAGGCTACTTGGGCTGTCCATGACTCCCACCTGTGCATCCCAGTCCGTTGATCAACGTTATGCTGATGCTTAAATATCTATATGATCAATATATATATATATATATAGATAGACAGATAGGTAGATAGATATAGATATTAGATAAAGATATAAATATAGAATGATAGATATAGATGTTATATATATGCAGATAGAGACATAGATATCTCCCAACTCCACGGGTACCTTTCCCCCGAGTCGCTTTGGATCCGCGGGTGCCTTGGCTTTCGGATCCGTCGACCTCCCCGGGGCGATGGGCGGATCGCCGCCGACCTTCACGGGGCGCATGGGACGCTCCCAGAAGCCGCCCGCAGAGCTCTCCGCCGGCGCCATGACCACGTGCTCCTGGCGGATGTCATATTTGTATGGCTTATCTATAGATATTTAAATATATATGAATATATATAATATATTATATTATATATATATATCATATTTATATTATATTATATATATATATTATGTTATATATATATATTATGTTATATATATATTATGTTATATATATATATGGGTTGTATGGCTTGTATGGGTTATATGGGTTATATTGGATGTGGTTTCAAATCCCTATATACCCCGTATTTCCTCCTGTACATTCGGGGTCTTCCCTGGAGAGAATGGGGACTTCGCCGACATCTTTCCCAACAGAAATGGACATGTTGACCATGGGCTTTCCAAGACAAGGGATGGGAAACCCTGGATCTAAAAAAACAAAAATGGTCAGCTCCCAGGGTTCTTTCAACAACTCCCAGATATGATTGATTCATCTTGATATCATATCCCACTAAAATCCCATGATCATCTCCCAGTGTCCCAGTAGATTCTCATTGATCTCGAAATAAAAACTCAATTTTTAGTTAAACCAGATTCATCCAGGTTCATCCAGATTCATCTACAATATTCATTGTTTTTGTTGGTGAGTGGTAAAAACTAACTTCTCGTCTCGCTAGAAAATCTTTTTTTTTACCCATTCATAGCATGGTGATTTTCCATGAAAATAGCATGTTAGTTAGTTTCCATGATACCCTCTGGTAATTTGTTACATAGCTATTGAAAATGGCCATTGAAATAGTTGATTTTCCCATGAAAATAGCATGGTGATTTACCTATGACAAATGGTGGGTTTTCCCATGGCTCCTCAGAACCTCCACCCAAGGTGGGGAACTCGGTGGATGAGGCAATGAGCGGCGGCGCCTTACAACGGATTTCCCGTGGAATCCGATGCCCTGGAAAATGATGGAAATCCCGTGGAAATCCCATGGAAATCCTAGGTTTCTAGAGAAGATGATTTATAAATGATGGACATCCTATAAATGGTATGTAAATCCTAGGTTTCGAGCGATGATCGAAGTAAATTGATGGAACATCGAACTCGAGGTTTCGAGCTCGCTGGGAAAATCATCGAACGTTGCCATGGCTGATTACCAAAAGGCAGTGCAATCCGCGATTCAGGGCTATGCATCCCAGCTAGTAGTTTATCACCCATGGATATCTGGGTAAGCATATTTACACATCTAAGTTATAAAAACCATCCCCAATTTTAGCACAAACGGGTGCTATAAACGATTGTAAAATTGGTGGTTTATTCTTCTACAAATCCAGGCTGCAACCATGTTGTCGAAAAGAACTAAGACCTATTAATATTGGGCATTGCAAAAAAATGCACAGAATAAAATACCCGAAATCTATCGAATCTACGGTAAGATAGCCCTCTTTAATGATGCGTGCGATGTATTTGTTCTTCATGGCCAAATCAACCCCCAAAGGATGTCAAAAAGTCCAAATTACCACTAGTTGAAGTGGATACATCCCCAAAGGCACCTCGAAAACTCGGAGTTTAGACTTGGATTTGAGTATCAAAGATCGGAGATCATCGAAGTTTGGACTGGGATTTTCGTAAAATGCCTGATTTTCCACCGTTGTGACATCATTTTCCAGATTTTACTCACCTCCCTCCTCTTTACGCAGCAGCATCCGCCTCTTTGGGCACAGGCCCCGGAGCTACCTGCATGGGCCCTGGCGCACGACGCACAGGTGTCTTTTCACGGCTCAATGGATGATTTTGGCGGTGCCAACTCCCCAGATTGCCGGTGATTGCCATGTGATTTCACATGATTTAACCAACGAAAAATAGTCATTGAATGGGAGTTATACTTTTTCAACATCGAAAAAACAACACAAATGGATACAAATGGGAGGAACGAAGCAGCTAGAAGGGATGTATCATGATGTATCATGATGTATCATGATGTATCATGATGTATCAACGCTGCTGAAGGTTTCCTTTCCACGACAGCCGCAACAAAATGTGCCTGGAGCATCGTTCTTTACCCTTGGTGGACCAACGCAACTGTCGACTGTGGGAGGGGCACGGGCAAAAATTGAATCGGAGAATTTTCCTGGTTGAAAAATCCTGAGATGTACAACGTAAAGCAGTCACTGGTTGGTGGTGGAGACAAAAAAAACCCTCTGAAAAATATGAGTTCGTCACTGGGAAGGATGACATCCCATATATGAAATGGAAAATAAAAATGTTTGAAACCACCAACCAGGTCATCAATATACCACATATCTTCTAGGTTTCCAACTGTTCCATTCTTGGGGTCTACAGTTGATGTCGACCCTGGTGGGGACCAAAAAAAAATGGCACTCCCCGTCAAAGATATGGATTTGTCCAGTTTACAGGGGAGACTATTGAAGAATAGCATTTAAACATATTTAAACAACAGGGATTCAGTAGATCTTAATAGGAGGTTAATAGATGTGAATAGAATATTAAGAGGATGTTAGGATGTCAATAGGATGATTAAGCATCAACTTAGGGGCTGCCATATGTAGTTTAAGCCCATTATGTCATCATCTCCATGGAACCTTGCACAGCTGAGTGCCCTGCGTGGGCTTCTTCGGCTGCACGGGTTTTTTCCTCTCTTCCTTCGCTGCCTACCGTGGAGGTTTTTTTGGGGGTCAACCCCAGATTTTCCACATGGAACCTGAAGAAAGCAGTAAGAAAATCTGATGTTACTACTGACCATGACCCAGCTGTTGGGTTCCATGTTACGATATCTTACAACTGTTACAGAAAGTGTCAATGCCAAAAAAAAATGTAGGCTGAGGCAACTCAGATGATGGTTGAACGATGTTAAAAAATGACATGTTGATAGGGCCACCCTTGAACCTTGGGCGTGAAACAGCCACGGCAACTGGGTCATCGCTCAGGATAGTGCTAACCCCATACTGGTGGACTGAATGGGGACATCAATCTTGGTTAACCAACCATGGAGCAATATCCATCAACCATTAACCAAAATTCACCAACTAGTAAGACTCTGGCTATCATCCGACAAAAAGTTCATAACAGTAATCTAATAACTGGTTGGTGGTTTGAACCCCTCTGAAAAATATTGGTGAGTTGGGATTATTCTTCCCAATATATGGAAAGTCATAAACTTCCATGGTTCCAAACCACCAACGAGATAAGAATAGTTGGGGATGGGTCAAAACCCTGGTACCTTTTGTTCACCCCAAGTCATAGCTGGGTTAAAATGGATGTTCATCCCACTAAAAATGGTATTTTCATAGGTATTGATCCATAGCCAATTAGGAAAAGATCATGGCATATCAAGATTTTCCCAGTGATATCTTGGGATATTCATGGATATCTTGGTTTTTCACTCATATTCACCAACTCTTCACCGATTTTTTGCGGTTTTCCCCCTATGGCCGCCTCCATGGGTGACATGGTGGGTGCAGGCACCGGCGGCACCATGGGAGGAGGCTTGGCCGGCGCCGCCTCGACCGGAAAAATATGTTCGACATGGCGGTTTTATGGGGAAAACCATCGGAAATCATTGGAACATATGGGGAAAACCATGGGAAAATATGAGAAAATCATGGGAAAATCATGGGAAAAACCATAGAAAATCATTGGAAAATATGGGGAAAACCCATGGAAAATCATGGGAAAATATGGGATAATCATGGGAAAAACAATAGAACATCATCTGAGCATATGGGAAAATCATTGGAAAATCCAACGATAAAAAAAGATAATGGTTTCCTAAGTCGGGTACCACTTGCATCATCCAGTCGTCATGGCTGACCATGACGACTAGTATTGAAACCTATGGTGACTTGGGGATGGGTCAGAATTCAAGAAGTTAACCATCCATTTTTAGGGATACTTAAGTTTGACCCATACCCAAGTGATTCTAAGATCTGGAGATTGGTCAAAACCTATATGAAATTATATACCATATAATATGACTGGGGGAGTAAACATCCATTAACCAGCGATAAAAAAGGGCACCTAGGGTACCAGGGTTTTGACTCATAGCCATACTTTGACCTTTACTTTCTGCTCAATTTTGTGTACCCCAAAGATTTCTGAAAAATGTTCCCAGTTATCCCGTAATTTTACTTACATACATCTGTAAACAATGGAGTTTCAGAAGGTTGGAATACCAAAAAGTGCCTTCTTCAATCAATGGGAATTCCAGGATCCTAAAATGGAGGTACTGTACCATATAAGGCCATATTTTGTGGGGATATCCCCTTACATAGGCCTGAAAAATAGGCCTTATGTATGGTATTGGTACCTCCAATCAATCGGTTCCTGAATTGGCCGTTGATTTAACGCATTCAACAAACATCGCTTACATCGTAAAAACAGTTCCTAAGGAAATCACTTTCACCACCGTTTCCTGTGAGATTATCATAGCATTAATACTGGTTGGTGGTGCAATAACCATCTTGAAAAATGATGGAGTTCGTCAATGGGAAGGATGACATCCCATATATGAAATGGAAAAAAAATCATGTTCCAAACCACCAACCAGATATACCTTGTGCTAATTTTTCACGTAGCTATCGAAAAGACGATTTTCTAATAGGTAAATCATCATCGGATATCTATATAAATGGACCATATTCCATATTAGCTACCCTCTGGTAAACTAACAGTTTGCTATTGAAAATGACCATTTATAGTTGATTTTCCCATTAAAAATGGTGGATCTTTCCAGTTCGCTATGTAAACGTTTACCATTTCGGGTATGTTAAATAACCAGGCTGGGTAGATCTCCTCCCCCAAGATGGAAACAGCCCGGGCTGCTGTGTATGGTGACAGTTGGCATTTTACCACAGCCAGTAACGATGAATGTGAATACCCTCTGGTAAACTAACATAGCAATGGAAAATCACCATTTTTAATGAGAAAATCCACTATTAATGGGCCATTTTCAATAGCTATGTTAGTTTACCAGAGGGTAAACCCATGAAAATAGCATACAATCAGAAAATTCCGCAATAATTCTAATCACATCGAACATCTGCCAAAGCTGCCACACTACCTTGGAAAGTGGCAATAATCCTCTGCAATTTGCTTCCAAACATTCTCATCAAAAGTTCTATGCTCCAATTGCCCCACATCTCCCAATGTTTTTCCCCCAAACCCACCAAAAATATCCAAAAATCCAGAACATGGGATGGTTAGTAGTCTATTTTGGTTTGTTTCAACTCTTCAAGTTTGTATATGTGGGTAAAACAACAATTTCATAAACCATCCCCCAGTCATCACCATTTTTATAGGTGGTATAAACCTATTCTTGTTTTATCAACATTTACATATTCCCACATGATATTTAAACTACCCACATTATATTACCCATTCATGTTTAAACTACCCCATTAATGTTAAAATCACCATTTTTGTAAGTGGTATAAACCATTCCCAAATTTTCCCAAATGGGTGGTTTATTGCATTGTTTTGCCCACATTACTCATTATTGTAATAACCATTGACTAGCCATTGACCACCATTAATAACCATTAATAACCATATATATATATAACAATTTATCTTAACAATTAATAACCATAAATAACCATAGAAAAGGCCATTAATAACCACTATGTATGTATATATATATTAATATATATATATAACCATTATGCCATGATCTTTCAACATTTCTCAGATGTGGCCCTCCCCAAAAAAAATGTCCCAGGCCTGTTGCGCCGCCGCCGCCTGCGCCGCCTGCGCCGCCTGCGCCTGGGCCGCTTGGACCTGCTGCGCCAGTTGTTGACGCACACGTTGCTCCTGCACCGGAGAGCGAAGCTTTAAGGTGATGGGTTTTGCCGAAAAAGGTGGGAGAATTCACTGGGAAATATTGGTATATATAATCATTTCACTAGGATATCATTAGGAAAAGATCCTGGCATATCAAGATTTTCCCAGTGATATCTTGGGATATTCATGGATATTCACTGATTTCTATTCACCGTGGGGAGGCTGCAATGAATTTGCCAACCCCCAAGAATGCACTGCGGCATGATTTGATGCAAGGATTCTGAGGGGGACTGTGCATCAGTGGCCAATGACACCTTTGTTTGATATAATGACACCTTGCTGTCATTGACGAAGGTTAAGGCGCCAAGTTATTGGTAAGCCAAGATCCCCAGATGTCCCCAGGTTGCAGCTGCAGAATGTCCGATTATTGAAGTAAGAAAATACGGAGAAGATGGACAAATTTCATCATCTAAACATTAGCTGATCATCATGGTTCTTTCTGATGTGTTAATTTGTGACACCTTGAAACCCTTGTTTTTTTCGGTTGGAACAAGACATATCACCGAGGTTTGCACAAAGAAACTCAATTTTGGCTGTGGACTTGCTACCTGAGGGTGCAATTGGGCTTATTAATGGGTATAACTTATAACTATGGGAAACCTCCATCAGTTGGGATATTTTGGTCCCCTACAACTATGGATATACAACCCACGTGACTTAGTTAAAAAGGCAGCCCCAAGTACCAGCATCTTTGCCCTGCTTGGGGTGTATCCAACCCCCTCCGGGAGGTTCCTGCGGGCTCCGTTTTTGATGGGTTTCTGTTCGTTGATAAGTCCAATGAACGTCCGCTCCAGGATTTTTTCGTGAATAAAGCAACAAACATAACTTGGGGGGTCAAAAGTCAAAAACAGATGATTCATATGATCAATATCAACGGTCCTTTGGAAAATCTTCAACAGTTGGTAGACATCCATGGTTTTTCCCTTTTGCGATGGCCGGTCGGGGAGATTTTCCGTTTCATACAAACCCCCATATACCCTCTGGTAAACTAACATAGCCATGGAAAATTGCCCATTTATAGTTGATTTACCCATTAAAAATTGTGATTTTCCATAGTTATGTTAGTTTACCAGAGGGTAGTTTATGGGGTCAACGCCCCGAGGCGGGCGTGGTTTTTTCCACGTTTGTGCTCTTTGGCAGTATACGTGTTTAACGCTCTTGCCGACTGTAAGATGACGCTACCGAAGACACGTTGCCCAACTTTGTTGCTGACGTCTTGCTACCTTGACCGGGAGGGGGGGTGGGGGGGGATGATAACGTTCCTTTCGACTGTAAGATGACGCTACCGAAGACACGTTGCCCAACTTTGTTGCTGACGTCTTGCTACCTTGACCGGGAGGGGGGGTGGGGGGGTGGGGTGGGGATGATAACGTTCCTTTCGACTGTAAGATGACGCTACCGAAGACACGTTGCCCAACTTTGCTAGGTTCATTTACAACATACATTTATCAAAACGCGTGTTTTTATATACATGTATGTTTACATGTTTATATATATATATATGTGTGTAAAGGGTATTTAAAATATCTATGTATTCATGTCTCAAGCAGATGTTGCGGAATTGCAAAAGTTTTTTTGGGCATTTTGACATCTTGCAGCAAACGTCAAAACAACATAGATCACAAGCATAAAATACTGCAAATTACAGTGTAAAAAGGTGATTTTTGATTCAATCACCAAGTACATAATTGTAGAAAACCCACACCCGCCTCAAGGCGGTGTTCCCTAGTTTATTGTTGCTGACATATCCCATGATATATCCCCTTTCCCCATAGAATGATTGGTTACCCTGCATGTTGTTGATTACATATCCCCATATGATCCAATCTATCCATCAAATGGTCAGTTGTATAAAAGTAGATATAAGGGTTGGTACAACTCTCAAGAAAACACAACCACTTGAGCAATGTTCAAAAACCAATGTTTTCCTATTATCCTAGTTGGTTGAGTACGGGATTTCCAGTTCATGGATGGTAGTCCTCAGTAGATCGAAGAACTGTATAAACCCCCCCTAAAAAAAAACATCAGTCAACATGGGTATCGAACATTTTGTGGTGATATATCCCATTGAAAAGAATATGCATCAAAAAAAATGAGTTCCATTCATTTCATTGATCTCCAAAGAAAATTCCGCTGATTTCCCATTTCAATCCAAAGTCCCAGTATGTCCCAGTTATTTCCACCCAATTATTACGGTAACCATTTATAAATCAACACAGTGATGTCCACTTAAAATGTAACAGGTGGGGAAAAAGGAACTATAATGGGGATTTACTGGGGATTCATGACAAACAATCAGAGTAAACCCTGAAGTGACTTCAACCAACCAAGCCAACCAACGACATCCCCCGTTTTCAACAACGAAAATTCCCATCGACGTCGCCCTCCTCCAAGCGTTTCTCGCGCTCCAAACGCTGTTGTTCCAAGCGTTGCTGCTCCTTTACTGCCTTGGTCTTGGACTCTTAGGGGAGCAGTTCTACGAATTTGCACGGAGATTGAAACCATAAGTGTAGGGCTTTGAACAAATACCAACTTATGGCTACTGGAGGTTAGGATTTGATAGTTAATGTGTGAAGTTACTGTAAACCCTACTCATGGAGCTTAAAACCCCACAGGAAAACAAAATTATTCATAACCTTAATTGCACCCCCAAGCTGTAACCAAG